GACCTGTGTGCTGGTTACATGAGTGTGTTCACTTCGCACAAATTCATCAAGTTATATATGCATGATATGTACACTTTTCTGTATGCATGTTATATATACTTAAAGAAAAAGTTTATAAAGGGCACCTGGGTGGCTCAGTTGGTTAAGTGGCTGCCTTCAGCTCAGGTCATGATCCCAGAATCCTGGGATCAAGCCCCGAGTCAGGTTCCCTGCTCAGCAAGGAGTCTGCTTCTCCTTCTCCCTCTGCCCCTCCCCCGCCCCCTGCTCATGCTCTCTCTCTCTCTCTCTCAAATAAATAAATAAAATCTTTATTTAAAAAAAGTTCAGGGATGCCTGGGTAGCTCAGTCAGTTAAGCATCTGCCTTCAGCTAACGTCATGATCTCAGGGTCCTGGGATCGAGCCCCGCATCAGGTCACTTGCTCAGCAAGGAGTCTGCTTCTCCCTCTCCCTCTGCCTGCCGCTCCCCCTGCTTGTGCACTCTTTCTCTCAATCTCTCTCTGATGAATAAATAAATAATAAATAAATAAATAAACAAATAAATAAATAAAAAATATTAAAAAGAAAAAAGAATAACAGTCATCACATTATTGAATCACCAATAAAACTCTTTAAGGACATTCTATTCATGTAAGCAGATATTGGAAAATTTTCTGTAATTATTATAATCATAAATTATTATTCCTATTTATCAATAACAAATGAACTTATTTTAACAAATAATTTATTTTCTATTTTATGCCCACTACAGTGCTAGAATTTGTGGAAATGCAGAAGAATTATGGACCCTCAAGGAGCTCATAGACTTCTCATTGAGACACTTGATGATTTACACACATATAAGGCAAACAAGAGGGAAGTTACAAAAGCGTAAAGGCTTTTTTTATAGAAGTTTTGAAAATAGTTTTTTCTGTTAGTAAACGAGGTAGCGCTTTCTCATATTCATAATTCATATTGTGGAAGTCAGCTTTGTAGAAAATCTTTTAAGAATGTTGTTGGACTTTGTTTACAATATCATAAAATGAGGGGAGGAGAGAATGCACCGATAGTATTCTTCATCACAGATCCCTTAAATAAACCATGGTGTATCTATTCCATGTAGTCTTTTTTTTTTTAAGATTTTATTTATTTATTTGACATAGAGAGTACAAGTAGGCAGAGAGGCAGGCAGAGGGAGAGGGAGAAGCAGGCTTCCCGCGGAGCAGGGAGCCCGATGCGGGACTCGATCCCAGGACCCTGGGATCATGACCTGAGCCGAAGGCAGCCGCTTAACTGACTTAGCCACCCAGGCACCCCTATCCCATGTAGTCTTATAGAGCTCTATGAAAAATGAGAAACAGATCCATGGGTACAAGACATATTTACCGGTGAAGAAAGAAGGCTGCAGAACATTATGGATTAACTTCTAAATTAATAAATAAATGCTAATATTCATAGAAAAAATCTGGAAGAATGTGCATGAAAGTGTTAAGACTGGTTATCTCTGGGTGCAAAATCACAGGGGATGTTCCTTTCTACATCCTATTTCTGCAGGGTCTGGCCTTCTTTTTTTTCTTTTAATATTTTATTTATTTATTTGACAGAGATATATGTGATATTGTATTGACAGAGAGATATTTATGATATTGTAAACAGCGAGAGAGGGAACACAAGCAAGGGGAGTGGGAGAGGGAGAAGCAGGCTTTCCGCCGAGCAGGGAGCCCGATGCGGGACTCGATCCCAGGACCCCGGGATCATGACCTGAGCCGCGAAGGCAGCGGCTTAACGACTGAGCAACCCAGGCGCCCTGGGTCTGGCCTTCTTCAATGAGTACGTTTTGCTTTTCTGCGAGCAGGGAAAGCAGTAAAGTTCAGCCGACACCGGTCACCAGGAGGAGGCAGCCTCGACAATATGGGGATGGACCTCCATCCATTTCCATGGCCTTGCTCTCCATTGTTGACCCTGCCTTGCTTCAGGTCAGGATCACGAAACTTGACTCCAAAAATTGGGAGTGGGTGATGGACCCGGTGGTGGCATGAGTCAGTGGCCAGGTCCGGAGGAAAGAAAGAGCCTGAAACTGGGGCCCTCCAGGTGTTGGTTTCTTTTATTTCTTCTGTAGTTTTGGATGTGTATTCCTGTCAACCTAACAGGCTGGAAGTACTTTACAACTGAATATGGGCACACAAAATGCTGCACCAAGAAGACAGCTGTGGGCGGCGCCCGGGTGACTCAGTGGGTTAAGTGTCTGCCTTCGGCTCAGGTCTTGATCCCAGCGTCCAGGGATGGAGCCTCACCTCCGGCTCCTCGCTCAGTGGGGAATCTGTTTCTGCCCTTCCCCCTGCTTGTGCTCTTTCTCTCTCAAATAAATAAATAAAATCTAAAAACAAAGAAGAAGAAGACAGCTGTAAAAATGTAATCCTTGCATTCAGCCAATATGTGTCTAAGTTCATTGTCAAAATCCAAAATGTATAGGAGTTGTCCGGTCCCAAGAGCTGGTCCAGGACATCCTTGGTTCAGGAGTAAAGAGGAGACATTCACAGATCCATATGAAGACTGGCCAAAAAAAAAGAAAGCTTTTATAACCTGCAGCAGAATTCACATTCAGGGAAGATGGCAGTTTTTTCTTTTAAAAAGAATAAAATATTGGAATGTGGTGTACCCACATGATAGAAGAGAGAGCCATAAAAAGAATGTTAACCAAATGTTAACTGATATGACTAAAATCATGATACAAAATTTTATAGCCAGTATAATCCCAAGTATGTGGAGAAGACATAAAACATTATGGCTGAAAACACCAAAATAGTAACTGCAGTGGAGGGGACAATGAATTATTTATTTTTTTTTGTTCACTGTTTTGTATTTCCAAACTATTCTAAATGATGGATACACTCCAATTAAAATGTTTTAAACGAACTTGAAACATGTAAATAAACCCACTGTTTCTTAATTAAAATGAAAGGATTTCACACTGAATTCCTGAATGGGTATTTGTAATAAATTTATAGCTCTTCCTTTAAAAAAAAATTGATCGAGTACTTTACATATATCAACCCTCGTAATCTGTCCAAATTATTTTCCAAATGCTTACTACTTGTGAAAACACAAACACCTATAAATGTCAGTTCGTTGCTGTCTGCTCCCTTGAAAAAAAATCTTCGTGCCTATGTATGCAAATAAAGGAGTTTACAAGGAGTGAAGAGGAGAGATTCTCAAGGACGCGGTATCCATGGATGTAGGAAGGGTTTCTGTTTACCAGAACCTTCTGCTTTGGTTCCCCAGATTGATAACAGTGAAAATGTTTGGTCACCTTTATAGTACCAGGGTCGGGGGGAGAAGGGGGCACCAGGTGTCTGTCTTCCTCAGCTGAACAGAAGAAGCTCCTCTTGCCCTCCCCTGGGGTAGCAAATGGCCCTGCACTAGCCCAGCCCGCTGCTCAAGCCATTCCCTCCGAGGTAGAGGCGGGGCGCCGATGGGCTGGACTGGCCCGGTGACTATGTCACTCGGCACAGCGCACGGTTGCCAGGGAGATGGACATTCTTGTGATTCACTGAGCCTGCCACCCCACCTTGGCCTCACATTTTTCTCTTCCTAAAAGAATCAGGCTAACACTGATGGCTAATACTATGCACCCCCAGCCCTTTGGGGGTTGTTGTGCTTGATGTACGTAAAAAGATTTTGCCTACAAAGGGCTCTTTATCACACACTGGTTTCTCCCATCGCTCAGGATGTTTATTAATATTTGACAATAGAGCCAAAGCAGAGGAGAGGGGGCAGTCATTTCCTGGAAGGAAAACCACCCTTTCCGGTCACCCACCCCTGCCACCCAAGAAACCTTGCTTCTCCTTAAAAATGCAGCCAGCCCCATGGACCAAGCCCCCTGCCGCGGGGCCATAGGTGGGACAAAGCAACCGCAAGTTGCTGCCAAGAGAACAGACAAGGGAGGGGGGGAGTGACGCAGGGACATGGAGCACATTCTGACCCATCTAATGCTGCCCCTCACGGGGAGGGAGGCACGGAGCGAGCGGCCCATCTCTCTGGGGATGAGAGGAACTCACTGTTTGTCAGCATCTGGAGATCTTCCACTGACGGGGGCAAGGCTTTCTTCTCATAAGGGATGACCGTGTTCAGATACTACGAGATAAACATACAAACATGCCAGGCAGGGCTGGAGACACAAGTCTGGTCCCTCCACAGGTGAGACGCGTTGACAACTTGCATGGGGACTGTGATCGTCTCTCCCCAACATGCTCCATCGAAACTGACACTCTCAGCAACCCCCATGACACTCTGCCCACCACTGCCTCGGGACCCTTTCCCCATCTCTGGCGAAAGTCTCATTTTATAAGTCTTTCCCATATCAGCCCTCCATACCATCGAATACATTCTTCTGACACTACAAGCTTTTGGATATTTAGGAATCCTGGTGAGCCTTTTCTCCTTCAGGCTGAGCACAGAGAACATTTTAAAGGGAGATTATACTTTTGTATGCTTTGCTGTGCAATATGAAATCAAACGGTCTCTCTTTTGTCAAAAATGACAGGGGAGAGAACCTCAACCCCACCCTTGGTCTCGGACGTTGGGTTTGCTCCCTCTGCTGGATATGAGGTGCTTCTACAACAAGATCATCTTGGCCTGGTGGGGCCCGAGAACAGGGTGCCAGAGAGATCCTGAAGGTTGGGCTCCAGCCCAAACGCCAAAAGACTTATATTTTGGTCTTGGTTCTGCCCCTAGCGGTGTGGTCTTGAGAGAAGACCTAATCTCTCCAGATCTTAGTTCTCACCGCTGCAAAATGAGGGGACTGGATTAGATGTTCCCCAAATCCCTTCACATGCTGCAGTGCCAGAATTCTCACCCTTAGGATTCAGCTACAAAGATGTCTGACATTCGTACACAATTACGTGCACTTACTCCAAACTTGTCCATTTATGCACATGCCCTTTCTATCAGATTATGCACTTCGTGAGAGCAGAGACCAGGACTGACCCATCTTTGCACCTGAGGGCCCAGCAATAGCTCAAACAAAACAAAACAAAACAAAACAAAACCCAGTTCACCTTATAAAAGACCTGCCTGTCCCTTCTTATGAGTGGAAGAAGATGTTAAGACCTCCCCCTGCCCGAGGGCTGGGATAACCCTAGTGAGTCACCACGCCCCGGTCTGCAGGGGAGGCCGGGCTGCAAGAGTCCAGGAGGAAAGCTGGGAGCCGGGGAACTGCTTGTACCTGTTTGTCCGTCCCTGAGGAGCCAAAGGTCTGGCGGATGCCGCTCTGCAGAATGTTGGAGATGCCTTCCATGCTGAAGCGCTGGGGAGAGAGGGGGAAGGAGATGCCTTCCATGCTTCCTGCTTCATAGTCATCACTCCCTGGGGACTTGGGTGTCCTCCCTAAGCCACCCAGACCCACCCGCCACCACCCTGCCCCAGATAAAACCTGGGCTAAAAAACAGGCCAAAATTTAAGCCTGAGTTTTGCAAGAACCAAAAGTAGAGTCTCAAAGACTCTTAGTAGGTCCCTCGGGGCAACGGGTCGCCCTGCACCCCCCTGGTTTCCTCATTTCAGCCTCCGTGTGGACAGAAAGAATAAAGCAGGACCCTACGCCTGGGGCAGGTGATGATGCAAGCATCTCACAGAGGAAAACAAAACGTCGGCCACTGGGGAGGGCAGATGTAAAGCTGCTGTCCTCATCTGGGAAGGCTTTTCCAAAATGCACAAGCCGACGCCCAATTCAGGAGGTCTGGGACAGAGCCTCGGCCAAGGTATTTTGAACAATCTCCTTGGAGGATTCTCCTGAGCTTCCCTGATCAAGAACCACTGGTTTGAAGAATCCTGTTAGTCTACAGCAAGGCGTCAGAATTTTCAATCCTGAAACAACCGCGAGCCCCCTCCCCCGCCCCCGCCATCCGAAAGAGAGCAGTCAGGACAAGTAGCAGGGATGCTGACCCTGAGTCCCAGGGCACAGCGCCCCTCAGTCTTAGCCACCTTCACCCCCTTTCTGAGGTCTTGCCTCAGGGAACACAGACCACATGCCAAGTATTTTCCCATGTCCACGTCTGGTGTCCCCCAGCTAGACCGAGGTCCTCAAGGGGAGGAAAGGAGAAAGGGGTGCCTTCTCTCTCTTTACAGCCCTACTGTCTGCCAAGGGTCCTGCTCGCAGTCACTGCTCAATCCCGCTCTGCTCCTGGGGCTTGCGCAGGCTTGGTACCGGGGCCCCACACGGCCAGGCTGCGAGGCTGGATGCACCTCGTCTGCCCGCGGGCGGTTCACCTACCTTGAGCGGCATCTGGTTTCCCTTCTCAATCCGGCTGCTCTGCAGGCTCAGACCTTTCTCTTTCCGCCTCTTCTTCATCAGTTCTCGCTGCTCCTTCTGCTTGTTCTGAACCTCGATAAGCACCGTGATGAAGGAGTTCTTCACTTCCTTCTCGAACTCCAGCTCGTCCCGGTGGGCGAGCTGTTGCACCAGCTCCTCCGAGAAGTCCCGGATGGCGCCCTCCACCTGGTCCAGCAGCGCGGTCAGCTCCGACCCAGACATGTGCCTCAGGCCTGCAGGGGGAGACCGTCCCGCAGGTGACCATCCCTGCAGCCGAGCCAGAGCCCACCAGGCGGCCCCCCGGGGCCGCTGCCCCCGAGGGGACCCCTCCCGCCTCCTTACAGGACTGGCAGTTCAGGGGCACGCCAGGAAGGAAGGGACCCATGTACGACAGCCAAAGTGCACACCACTCTCAGGGCAACAAAAGAGGAAGAAGAAAGCGCCCCCACAGAAGCCCGTGGACTCCGTTCACAAAAATGTGCGCGGACGGGGACGCCTGGGTGGCTCAGTCAGTTAAGCGTCTGCGTTCGGCTTCAGGACATGAACTCAGGGTCCTGGGATCGAGTCCCGCATCGGGCTCCTTGCTCTGCAGGGAGCCTGCTTCTCCCTCTGCCGGCTCTGCCTGCCACTCCCCCTGCTTGTGTTCTCTAACAAATAAATAAATAAAATCTTAAAAAAAAAAAATGTGCATAGACAAACATGTGACTTTTTGATCCCTTTTTCCTCTTCCTATTTTTCCTCTGTGTCTCTGATATTCCTGGTGCGAAATGGGTCAAGGATCGGGGGAGAAAACATTAAGAGGAGGTTTTGGGCATAGGTGCTGCAGACAGGAGAGAGGTGGTGTTTGTCCCAAGAACTGATCAAGATCTAGCCGGCCAGCAAAATAAGCACAGCGATCTGAGCCCCCTTCACCCCGTGGTCCTGCGCGACAGTGCAGATATTCAGAAACACGGGAAACGTGCGGCAGACTGGGACCGCAGACTGAAAAGTGCGCCCTGGCTGGCTGATACCGAGCCTGCTGTCAGAGAAAACGAAAGGGAAGCTGAGATAATGGGGTACAGAAAACTTTGTCTTAAATTCTTTTCCCTTCCAATTTCTTCATTTAAAATAGATTGGGGGGGAAAGTGCATCTGGTGGGCTCAGTCTGTAGAGCATGCCACTCTTGATCCCAAGGTTATGAGTTCAAGCCCCACGGTGGGCAGGGAGCCTCCTTAAAATAATAAAAATAATAGATTGGGGGGGAGCATCTTTTCAAATTTGTCTCTTTCTAACATCTTTTGTTTCTGCCCCAGAATCCATTTTACTTCCCTGTTTCTGCCGTGGCCTGTGGATTTGCTGACTCGGTTCGACCTCCCCCTTTATTCTGCTTTTTGGAGCTGTCCCCCTCCTGCGTTTGCCATTTCGCTGTGCACTTCAGCTGTTTTCCTGAGTCTTCCGCTGAGCGCGGCTATGTTTGGGGCCTTTGTGTGGCTGAGACCAGCCTGAATGCAGCTCCGCAGCCAAATCTGCCCCATCGTTGCGAGCACATTCCTTCTGCTTTTGCCCTGGCCCAGCCTCTGCTCTTTAGAACCACCGAGTTTCGTTTTCAGGACATGGTTCCTCAGAGCAGGCCTCGATTTTCACCCGTGTTTGGACCTTGACACCTGCCCGGCCGGCCTTCCCTCTGTGGTGTTTCTAAGGCTCTGCCAGCCCACAGGTGCACCTCCGCCCAAGGAGCGCGGCCCCTCCTGCAGGATGGGCCCCGTTACCCTTCCAGATGGATGGCTTTTATACTCAGTTCTGCCTTCGCTGCGTCATATCCTTTCATTTTACACCTCATCCACCCCTTTCTTTGCGTGATCATAATTACTACGAACCTGTCAGAGAGCTAACACGACACACAGATTAAGAGTGTGGATTCTGGGGATGCCTGGGTGGCTCAGTCTGCTAAGCGTCTGCCTTCAGCTCAGGTCATGATCCCAGGGTCCTGGGATCGAGCCCCGCATCAGACTCCCTACTCAGCAGGGAGCCTGCTTCTCCTTCTGCCTGCCACTCCCCCTGCTTGTGCTCTCTCTCTCTCTGACAAACAAATAAATAGAATCTTTAAAAAAAAAGAGTGTGGATTCTGGCGTTAACCTGCCTGGCTTTGCTCGTGGGCCCCACCCCTCACCACCTGGATGTGGTGTTGGGGCAGATACACATGAAAAATAGGAAGCTTGGCTCTCCCTGTTGAAAGTAAGGAAAGAGACTTTCTCTCTCCTTCCCCTGCCTGTTCTCTGCGAATGCCTTCCTCTGTCCTTTGCAGATGGATGCCAATCATTTGAACAGCAAAATAAGCCCCTTGTCAGTCTCAGGACTCAGCAATATTTCCTCAACCACCTGGGAGCCACAGGTTGGAAAAGTCATCATCAAGGAAGATGACAGGGCCCTAACTAGTCGCCCTTCTCCAGACTGTTAAACTGATTTAATGTAATGGGTTGTATCCACTTCGCCAGAGATGAGAGTAGGATTTCTTTCTGGTTTTGCAATCCCTTCAGCGAGTTGCCTGTGAAGGGCGCTCTGTTCTGGCTTCACGCTTATCCAATAATAAAATTGTTGGCTTTCTCTTCTCCTTCTGTGGAGAGGTTTTCTGGGTGGGGAGGAGATTCTGTTTTTAATCATATGTCCCCAGCAGTGGCATCAAACAAGTCACTTAGCCTCTCAGCCTCCTCAATTACCCCAGTCCTAATGGAGTTGGGGTGGGGATGAAATGAGATGATGCACAGAAATTCTTACAACTGGGTCTGGCACATAGAGAGCTTTCCAAAAATATCAGCTATCATGATTATTACCTTTTTCATTGATTTTATGGTAGCATCATTTTGGAGAGTGGATTCCGATTTCTTCTGCTTATTCTGCTCCAGTCTTGTTCTTTGGTTAGTTTTACCATTTTGATTTTGCTCAATTGCCTTTCCCCCTCACCCCCAAAATTTGCTAAGTTCTCTCCTGACGCCCAGTAAGAAAGGGATTGCCAACTCCCTGGATTGGAGGTCCTGCTAGCTACATGTGAAGCGTGTGCCCATGGCCTGGCCCACAGGCAGGAGGGCTCATCCTCGGCAAGCCCACCCACCAGGCCCCTCACCTTCGTAGGACCAGTTGTTGTTGAAGGTCTGGGTCAAGGCCTGCATCTCCCGCAGGAGGACTGAGTCTGCCTGGGAGGAGGTTTCTCCCTCATCCTCCTCTTCCAGGACCTCCTCTTCTTCCTCAGGGTCTGGGGAGTTCTGCATCATTTCTTCAATCTCTTCAATCACCTGAAGAAGGTACGCAAGAGAGTGCTAACTGTTCTCTGCTGGAGGGACATCCCGGCTCGGATTTTGATCAGCTAAGGATGTCTCTAATTTGCTGCCTATAAAATTCTTAAAGCAATATTGTTATTTAATAAATGTTGAATAATAATAAAAATAGATCTGACCAAAGGCTTACACACACTCTTTCATTAATGTAAAGCACTCCTGAATGTGAAATCTCTTCCAAGAACACCATTTAGATGAGTGCTTTATTGGAAATAAACTCCCCTTTCGGGAAACAAAGCAGAGCTGCCTGGAAGGAACATTTACCTCAGTGTGCTGAGCACTTTATTTCTAAGTGGGAAAACACTTTAGCCACCCAACTTTAACACAAAACCCAGTCCGTTAATTGTTACAGTGCTTCCGCTGTTCTAGAACAACTCAAAATGGGGAGGCTTTTTTTGTTTTTTTACGTAGAGGAAATTTCTCCAGAATTCACCTGGATAGGAACTTGAGCTGGGCAGCTACAATTGCCAAACAGGAGGTTAACATAACAAAAGGACAGGTAGGGTCTGGAGAGCAGAAAAGAGCTAAGAAACCCAGCTGTAATCTCCACTCTTACTAGGGATCAGCCCCCAGAAGAGAGAGCTAAATCAGAGCATCGCCAGAGGAAGACGGGTGAGCTGCTGCGTTCATTAACTGTTGACACGTAAAGAAAATGGAAGAAGCAAAGACAGTCTGAAAGCCGTCCATGGATGGGTCTGGTCACGACAGGGCACTCTGCATTTGTCTGTCCTCAATTCTGTGATGGATTCAGTCTCCAGGCCCCTGGGCTGTGTTCTGTCTGAGGCAGGCTTCTTCACGTTAGCTGGACCAAGGACAAGGGGACTCAGGGGGCCCACACCTTAAGAATAATTTCTATTTTATTCCCACACCTTCTCACCTCCATTCAGCAAATTTAGGGAATACTTAGGCTTTGCTTCCTGAAAGCCGTTTATAAAATACAAGCAAATGACAAACCCCCTTCAGAATCTTACGGCTGAGTTTCTCCTTCTCCCACAGAGAACTGATCGCTAACCTTGGATCACTGAATTGTATATCCCTTACAGTTCACAAGAAGAACTGTCAGCCCCTCTTCTCTTTTCATCTGGTGCTCTTCAATCTCTTGATCCTTACCTGTTTAATATCCCACCTTTTTGCCACAGACATGAAAGAGTTCCTTTGGCCGAAAAGCACTTTCTGGCCCCACAGGCTCCTGGTGGAGCTTTTTCGAAACTACTTTGTGAAAAACTTGTATGGTACCTGCTCAAAAAGTCGCCCAGAAATATTTGTCGACCGAAAAGTTGAAAAAAGAATCCAGAGACCCAAGATTATTCCCTGCTAAGTAATAAATGACTAAAGCCAAAATATAATTAATTCAATCAAATGTCAAGCACTACTTTTTTTTTTTTAACAAAGACACAACTGTCCATTAAGACTCCTTTTGGAAGGCTCAACATTTTGGGTGTTCTATGAAATATGAGAAAATACCCACCATACAAAAGCCTCAACTGTCACTTCTATTTTTGCAAGAATAGGTATTTGAGACCCTCATTTCAGTGTCTTGACTCTTAATGAGATTACACTCAGAGGCTTAGCAAGAAGTGAAGCCCATCAACACCAGGCCTATCTCTGGCTATAATCAAACATGAGCCCCGCCCAACCCGAGTGTCAGGAACTATGTTCCAGTTTACTGCAGGCGGGTAAACTGAGGCCTAGAGAGACATGAAATCCCTTATCAAAGACACTCCAAGTCATCGACCCAGGCAACCATGAGACCATATATTTGTCTTCTGCTTTAAACGGACAGACAAGTATGTACTTAGACTTTTTCTTGATCCAAAGAACAAAAAGTCCCAAGAACCAAGAGAAATATTCATACCTGATCTGCTGTGAGTAGAGGCTCCTCATTGATACCAGAATCATGTTCACTCTTCTCATTGAACTCTTCCTCTTCTTTCTCATGGATCTGAAGGGGGGTGGGGGGGTGGAATTCTGATTGATCATCAGCAGAACTAGGGTTCTCTTTACTGTCTGGTCTCTAGAACAGACACGGACTGAGAGGCCCCTCCGGCCATCCACTGTGTAAGGAGGGAATCTGAAGAGATGCCCAGAGTTTCATCCAATTCCAAACACACCCCTTCTGCACAGCATGCATCCCTGAGTCCAGCAAGGGATGTCTGACTCGAAGGAAGGAGCACTGTTCTTCAGCCCACAGACAGGTCATCCCTGCATGAACAAGGAACCTTCCCAAGGTGGGTGATACCGCAACCAATTCCAGCAGCGAAGGCTCTCTTATTTAGACAAGGACTTTCAATCTGGGGGTTAGTTTCCAGAGCTTACTGTATGAGGCATTTTAAGGGGTGGGTTGTTCCAGTCCAAAGAGTCAAGCTTTTAGAACTGGATGCAAGGCCACCCTGTGACTGGAATCTAGGCAGGGTGTCACGGCCGCTGAAGGGTGTAGCGAATCTACACGAGACGTGCCACGGAACAACCTGATCACGTGAACTGAGGCACAGACAAAACAACAACAACAGCATTGAAACAGGTGCCCCATTCCTCCAAGATTCCATAGTGCCAAGTAAGATTCTGAAGGTTCACAACCACTGAGATTCTAGATGTTGCAATCCAACAAGATATCCCCAGCACATCTGGCTTTCCTGACCATATCCCAAACGGCCACAGTCTGGCATTTATGTTCAAATCTTGCACAAAATAAACCACTAAACCACCCAACAATCTGTCTGTGTCCGGAAGTCGAATCTGAAAGTCCTATAGGGGCTGGGGAGGAATGCCTCCAGGAAGTCTTTCTGCAGTGACACCTCCCATCCAGGAATCAATTTTTCCTTGCTCATCGATAGCTGGCATGCTGATCTGCCTCTTTCCCGGGGATTACACTCCTGCTGTTAGAAGAGAAGACACCCAGTTCCATCCCAAGCAATCATGTCAGAGATGGGCTATCCTCAGAAACTTCTCCCCTATTCTTTGAGCGCCACCTTGGGCAGACACCCCTAACAAAACACATCACCTTCTATCTACGTTTGCATAAAACCAGGACTCTGTCATTAAAAAAATTAATCAAATGTATCTTAAATGCCATCTGCACTCCACCTGGATAGGGGTAGGGCAGGGAGGTAATGGGATCTGCTGAGGGGCTTGTGTGCCAGATGGTGACATCTATTTCTGCTGGTGAGCCCATATGCTCCTCTCTCTGCCAAGTCTACCACCTGTGGTAGCCGCCTGGCTTCCGCTTTCCCAGAACTCTGCAGAACGAAGCTCCTGGATCCACAGTTTGTTCATGACTACACTCCTAGGGCAAACTTCCTCGGGGCCAGAAAGGCCTGTGCTGGAAGTGAGAGTTCCTTGCTTTCTGTTTGGATTCTTTTTTATAAGCAAGTGTTAGTCTATAACCGGAATTTTTTTTTTTTTTTTGACAGTAAGTGTATTCTAAAGATGGAAGGTTTATGTCTTCTGAGATATGGCCAATTTTCACTGACTGTTAATACTGCATCTTTGAGCTAAACCGTCTCCCCTCACGAGGTCTTCCCTCTGAGTTCCTGGTGGAAGGCAGGGAGGGAGCTTCTAGGGATAGACTCTTCTTGTTGTTTAAATGTTAGCGAACCTGAGCAGTGGCGTGGATGTCTCTTAGAGCTTTCTCTCCTCTCCCTGTCCCTGGCACAAAGCCTACAGGTCTGACTTGTCAGGCTTGGGTGAAAAAAGACCTGAGAATCACCTATAATCACTGACAAGTTGCCCTGAGTTCCTAGGATTGTGGGAGCTGCACCTACCCCACATTTTCTCAGACCTCAGAAGTCTGCCACTAAAAACTAAAATAAAAGGAGAAGCAAACACAAGTTACTTAAAGAAAGCCCCGGCTCCTTCCCTCTCCCCGTGTGGATTATTCCCAGCCTGCTTCACCACACCCACCCTGTCCCTGACCTTTCCTCCACCCTCTCTAACTTTCGGTCTCCAGTCTCCAGGTCTTGGGTCTGAGGCTCTCATCCTTCTGCACCCCCTCTAGTGCTCCTCCCACATTTCCTCCGGTCCTAGCAGACTCTGTTCCACCCCAACCGCTTCTGTCACTTCTCAATGAGCCCTCTTGCCTTACAAATGCCACTTACAGAATCCCTACCTGCCCTTCGTTACCAGGACAATATCTAGTGCAGAGAGTGTAAAGCTGGATGGGGACTAATGGGGGGAAAAAAGAAGGAATTTTGAAAAATGATGGCAGTTGTGTATATGGATAGGATTATATGATTTACACACACACACACTTATGCAGGTGAACACGTATATGGATCCTCCTATTCTTAACATATGCCAGAGACCTAGAAATCACCATAGGGAGTTTCTTTAGCCTCTCGTGTGACAATGGGAAGGCTAGAGCCACAAACAACCTTCAGGCCAGGTCATTCGGGGCTGAATTTCTGTGTAAACTGAAACTCAAGTTGGTTCCACACCGTAGGAGTGGACTATGACTCTTCCAAGAAAAATCATCCTTCCAAGTGACTTCTTTCCTGAACGGAGGAAAGAAGACCAAGAGCCAGAACAGGTCTGGCCATCCTCCTCGGCAAGCTGTTTCTGCCTTCTGCTTTCCCTAAAGGGTGTGCCTTTAAGGCTGTGATGTGGTCGCTTAAAGTTTGGCAATAAGTGAGGGAACCTTCCCTGGGGCCTACCATGCTGCTAAATCTTGCGGAACAGCAGTCTGAGTGAGGACTAAAATGACACTGAGTCCTTGTGTTCGAAAGTGACTATTAACCAGCGTCTCTTGTCAGAGCAATCCAGATGATTCTATTCACGAGAAAGGGAGTCTCTACCCCATTGTATTTCCCTCCCCTTATCACAATTGTTCCACATAGGTGGTTGCCTTCCTGACCAAAATTAAGAGAACGAAGATCCATTTTCACCTTCAGTCAACAAGTTAAAAAAAAAAAAAATCCACGACATGCACCCAGCCCGAGGAAAGGACAACAATATCCCTCCATGCTTGTGAACAACCAGGAAACATCTGTGTGGGGTTAAGTCAGCGCCTCTGAATCCCCACAGGGAGATGCACCAGAGCACAGCAAACAGCATGTAGACAACAGACGTTTCGTGAAAGACTTAATGAACAAATGAAAGAGGGAGGAATGGTTGCACTATCCCCTCCTACAGTCAGTCCACCTCCACAGACAACTTAGCTGCTCAGTGACCTGGAAAACAGAAGCGTTGAACTCACTGTCCTGGACTTTTTTTCCTCTTGTCCAAGACAACCACCATCTGCTATTAATTACAGTTGCAGGGATAAAAGAGACTATCTTTTATATAAGTCAGGAACAGAATATTGATTAATTGAAAAACCCAATAAATGTGGAGAGTTGTAAATAATAATACTACATAGCTTGAGCATATTATTTTGACCTAAAAATAAAAGAATATACTGATTTTTCCCCCAAGCTCCTAATGTAAGGTCAATGCCTTTTTCTCCATGATGGGCCTTTGAATAGAGGTTCCACACTGTCTTCTACCATCCACAACAGAACACCCTTTTTTAAATGGGCCCCGTTTCTATCTTTTTAAAAAGATTTTATTTATTTATCTGAGAGACAGCAAGAGCAAGAAAGAGAGAGGGGGAGAGCACACAGGGAGAGGGAGAAGCCTGGAGCTGGATGCGGGACTCGATCCCAGGACCCTGGGATCATGACCTGAACCGGAGGCAGACTCTTAACCAACTGAGCCACCCAGGTGCCCTCCATTTTTTTAACAGCAGAAGGAAAATACATAGGTGATTGAGCATACATTTATCTCCTCTTCCTTCTGAAACCCTACTAAAGTGAGAGCAAAAGGACCGAAAGAGAATATCCTGCAAGGACAAAACAAACCCAAGGAAAGACAACAGCGAACAAGATGCTAGAAAGCAGATGCTGAGCTAGCAGGCTAGAGGGTTAAGCCCTATGGGAGAAACCTTCCCAAAGTATGTGTTTTCACCCCCAAAATGCTGAAAGACTCTAGAATTGGAGACTTCGGGGGCACTGGGAGGTGGGGCTGCAAAAGGAAGGATCTGCCAGGATTCTTCATAGGAGCAGTGAGACCCCAAGTCTCTTCTCCTCTCCCATGAAGAAAGACAACTACTACCCTCTCACCATGAAAAGAGGTGGAGGTTTCACTTTGGAAAGGTTGAGCGAAGGAGGACTTGGACCTAAGAGACACCAGCCCACCTGAAAGCAGGGGTGAGGGATCTTGCCGAAAACAGAGGGATTAAGTGAAAGTCTACCCACTCACCAGAGACCCTCAGCCTCCTGCCCTGCTTAGGCTCCAAGGATGCTGGCAGTCAAACTTATCCTCCTCAAGCAAAACACTGGAGGACTCCACCTAGTGGTCAATACATTTCTGTTTCACTGTGCAAATAAAAGACGTACAGATACATGCCAATATTTGGGGTCTCCTAACAAAATGACCAGGTCCTTACTGATCATTACAGTGGGGGGCAGTAGGAGACAAGCCCTGTCCCCACAGAAAGATCTCTGTGAGTCTAGCCTCACTTTTAAATATGCCCAAGGATTGTCAAACATTTGCAGACAATTCCCGACATGAAAAACAGGGACTAAAACAAATACATAGGAAAGGTAAATCAAAAGCTATACAGAGGGCAGGAGAGACTCCTTCCTATCATTACTGCACTCAGAGGGATACCAAGAAAACATTGCTTCCTTGAAACATGGCCTGTTTAGTAGAATTAATTTTAAAAAACAACAAGAAAGAGCTCTTAGAAATCAAAATATGGTAGCAAAATTTATATTTTCAGTAGAAGAGTTGAAGATAAGGCTGGGAAAATCACCTAGAGAGTAAAAGAAAATAAGTAGATAGAGAATGGGAGGGGAGAAAAAGCAAAAGATCAGTTTAAGTCCAACACTTGAATAAAGGAATTCCAAAAAGCAAGAACAGAAGAGATGGCCTCTTTCAGCCACAAAAGAGTAGCTAGTACTGGACTTTCCCTGCCACATACAACTATAAATCTAAGAGCTGATTGTTTTGAGGCACTGGGCACAGACAGTGCAAGGC